GTCTGCTGCGTTGATTTTGAATTCATTAAAAGAGCTTATTTTACATCAAATCCCTCTCATATAATTCTCCTATGTTCATGCTTTCAACATGAAGCCAGAAAATCGGGACTTTTTTAAAAGGCGGAGGGACATGGGAAAAATTGTTATAAAGCGTGCTTGTCACGCTGAAATCGGTACGTCTGGTCACCCTACAGTAGACCTGAGCTTAGTGATCAACCTCTCCCAAATGCTGAGTGTGAATGGTTTACAGATGGTAGTAGCTTTATGATGGAAGGTCTGAGAAAGGCAGGATATGCTGTGGTCACACTGTGGGAAGTTACAGAAGCCAAACCACTACCAGTAAACACTTCTGCTCAACTGGCTGAGCTGCTAGCTTTAACTAGAGCCTTACAGCTGGCTGTAGGACTAACAGTAAATATTTACACATAGCAAATATGCCTTTGGAATTTTGCACGCCCATAGAGCTTTATGGAAGAAAAGAGGATTTTTAAATGCAAAAGGATCAACTATTAAGTATGGTCCACAAATTTTAGTATTATTGGAAGCAGTCTGGCAGCCAAAAGAAGAAGCAGTCATACATGTCAAGGGTCATTCTAAGGAAGACACCCTTTACGCAAAAGGGAACTGGGCTGCAGATAGGGCTGCTAAGGAAGCTGCCCTATGACACTCAGAATGAACAGTTTCCCTAATTCTGATGTCTCCATCCATACCCACTTCCCCGCCCTCTTATACACCCAGGGACAGGGCATGGGCCAAGTTTATCAGAGGCAAGGAGGGGAATGAAGGGTGGTGGAGTGTAGAGAGCAAATTTATTCTAACAGCTACACCTCTAAGGATTCTTTTATAACAAATACATGCTTGCACACATTGGGGGTCAAAAGCACTGGTAGATTTTATGACATGCTGTGTAGTAGGCAAGGGTATCTATTCTGCTATCTCCAAGCTGTAGCATCTTGTCTGATTTGTGTCAGAAATAATCCAAAAGTAGACAGGCACTCACCCCTATGAGTCCAACTTAGAGGCAACTACCCAGGGGCAATTTGAGAAATAGACTTCACTGAATTACCAAAGGTTTTAAGTATGTTTTGGGAGTAGAATGTACCTTCACAGGATGGCCTGAGGCTTTTGCTTGTAGGACTAATAAAGAGCATGAAGTAGTAAACATCCTACTGGAAGAAATTATTCCTAGGTTTGGGCTGCCAAATAGTATATCATTTGATTGTGACCCATACTTCACAGCTAAGGTTTGTGTGAACAGTTAAACATCACTTGGAGCCTTTACTCAGTCTACCACCTGGCAAGTAGTCCTATGGGGGGAAAATGTAATAATTTACAAAAACAACAGCTAGATAATCTATGCCAGGAGGCTTACCTGTCCTCCCCACAAACTTTGTTTTGTTTTGTTTTTTGTTTTATTAAACATTTATAGGCCGCCCTTTTCCCTGAGGGGACT